AGCATCTGTTGAAGCTGTTGATCTCGTGTTGCATTTGGTTTCACAAACTAGTTTTTATACGACAGAACAATTTAAGAACTTTAAAGCTTGCAAACCTACAACCAAATGGTTTACGGTTTCATAACCAGCATTTTGGGGCAGATTTTCGCTTAAATTTTTCGCCTAGCGGCAAATTCTTCCATTTCAGTTGTTTATCCTACAAGCGTCGTCCAAACAATTACAAATTGTCCTGGTTATGTAATGAGTGTAAATTGCAAAGTGTTGTTGCTATGAAAAGCTCAAAACTATCCAAGGAGTCTTCCTCTCCCATCTCCAACACTTCTGATGATTCTGACATTATAAATTTGGGTGAAACTTACCATGTTGATGTTGAGAAATATGGGATAATTGCTGAACTATCTGCACATGACTTTGATGTGATTGAATCACCTAATGGGTGGCTTGAAAATAGTATTATACAGTATGCCCAATCACTTTTGAAAACAGTCAATCCAGCTATACAAGGATTTCAGCATACAAGTCTTGGAATATATTTAAATTTGAAAAAGTTGATGGGGATTTTGTTCAGATATTGCACACTGGGGGCAATCATTGGGTATGTGAAAGCTCAATTGGATGTGAAAAAGGATTTGTGAATTTGTATGACAGTCTTTTTCATGATGTTATTTTTAATGATCTGGAACAGCAAGTTCAGAACTTAATTGGTGAAGATTTCAAAGATATATCTGTTGTACCTGTGCAACAACAATCAAATGATTCTGACTGTGGTGTTTTTGCAATGGCTCAGTGCAACAGCACTTTCTTACAATCTGGACAAGGATATCCCAAACTTTGATGTAAATCAAATGAGATCTCATCTATTAACATGCTTAAAGAGTGGACTGATTACTCCCTTTCCTGAGGTTAAACAGTTGGTTATGTGACATTTTATTGCTTCATGAAGCATGAAGCAGTTCTTGCCTGAGAGCAAGGCATTCAAAGTCCACACTGTTTATCACCGAGTATTTATAAGTGTTATCAACAATGTAAAGAATGAATGCATGGCATCAACATGGAAAATGGGTTAAAACCCAAATGTTTGTGAATAAACTTATGAAAAAAATGCAAATGAAAAAAAATCATAATAATATTTCATCAATAGTTAATAAGTACAATCCATTCAATGTTGAATGCCCCATCAGTCAAATGGGATGGTAGGTGGGCAAAGATTGACAAGAGCTGAGCAAACTCTTAACATCCTGTCAATGAGAGGTACAGATTCACCAGATCTACAGGCAAGATAATCTGTTGGCAAAGTTTGTTGAAGGATGGTGTACTTCTGTCTCAATGTCCCAATAATTCTCTCAACGTGGATTCTCAGTGTAGCAATCTGTCTTGTCTTCTCTACATCAACAGGATCGAGTTGATCCTTTCCCTTTGTAAATGCTGGAATATTCAGGTCAGCATGACGGAACCAAATACTTTCATGCACAGTAAAACCTCTGTCAGCAAGGACCATATCACCTGGCAAAAGTTTCTCAAGAATTCCACACTTCTCAGTCAAAAACTTGTCTGATGTTCTTCCTCCCCAAGCCTCACTCACAAAACAAATTGTCCCTTGTGGTGTAACTCCAATTAAAACTTTGACAGTGTTGTGGTGTTTATAATTTGAAAAGGTCTGAGCTCTTGCAAGAAGGTTGGATGGCCGATCGATGAAAATTTCAAAACAATCAATAATAACTGTAGTTTTACGACCGAACGCATCCAAAAAACATCTAGGCATGGTCTTGTACAACTCATCACGACTAGGCCATTTAATAATTGGAGTTAATCGAATATCCATTACAGTTATCCAAGTAACTAAAATACGAGAGACAGAAGACGTCGAGATCTTTAGACGATAATTATCATTTGTGTCATTA